AAAAAAAAAAAAAAAAAAAAAAAAAAAATGAGGAGCTTAGGAAAGCAAGGGAACCCATACATGCTCAACATAAGAAAGAACTGGATTTAATAAAACCAATTCAAATAGATATCCAGGAGATTAAAAACTTTATTGAAAGTATACACAGTAGAATCAACCAATGTGAAGACAGATTATCAGATCTAGAAGACATTTGTGGTTAGTGATCATTAAATGAAAGACTTCTTATAAATAGCAAGGACCACACACAAAAAAATCAATCCAATAACTATTAGATGATGCAAAGAAGATTAACATAAGCTTAATCAGAATCAATGAAAAATCAGAAGACAGTACAAAAGACATAAAAAACCTGTTTACAGAAGTAATAGTGGAAAACTTTGTAAGCTTGGATATAGAATTTCACATACAGATAAATGAAGCATCAGAACTAAAATTAGCGATGACCAGAAAAAAACTACATCAAGTCGTATAATAGTCAAGATTCCAGCACTTACTACAAGAATAGAATATTAAAGATGGTTAGAGAAAAGAAACAAATCACCTAGAAAGGAAAATCCATCAGAGCCATATTAGAATTCTCAACACAAACACTAAAGTCAAGGAGAGCTTGGAATGAAGTATTTGAAGCCCTGAAAGAAAACAAACTCCAGCCCACACTTACATACACCGCAAAGCTACCTTTCAAAAATCAATGGAGAAATAAGATACTTCTGTGACAACACCTGAAGAAATTCATGACCACAAAACCAGCACTCTAAAATGTTCTGAAGGATATTCTAGAAAAAGACAACAAAGACAATTCCAAGAATCCCAACAGAATAAACCTACCAGGTCAGGCAAGCAATTACATAAGACAGGAAAGAAAGGGAATCAAAACAGGAACATAATATGTTGACAAGGAAAAGTCAGTACCTATCGGTTATAACCATCAATGTGAAGGGTCTCAATTCACCAATCAAAAGGCAGAATGGATCAAGAAACAAAATCCTGGGCCGGGGATTTAGGTTAGGGTGCCACTACCTGTCTTGCAAGTGCAAGGAGTTGAGTTACATCCCTGGTACCAAAATAAAAAAAGAAACAAGACCCAATATGCTGCATACAAAAAACATATTTAACCAGAAAAGAAGCTCAAAGACTGAAAGTCAAAGGATGGAAAACAATAGTTCATGTAACAAGAACCTGAAGGAGTAGCTATTCTATTTCCAGACAAAGTAGATTTCAAGTCAATACTGATTAGAAGAGACAAAGAAGGTCACTACATACTTATTAAGGAAACAATCAAAGAGGAAGAGGTAACATATATATGCACCAATTACCAGGGTACCCAACTATATAAAACAAATACTAATGGATATGAAAAATCAGATAAACACTAACACAGTCGTAATGGGGGACCTCAATATTCCACTGTCACAAATAGATCAACTAGATAAAAACAATCAAAAAATAAATATGAGAACTGAACCAAATTTTTGAACAAATGGACATAACAGATATCTACAGTGTTCCACCCAACAATAGAATTGATATTATTCTCAGCACAGTCTTTTCTCTAATGGACTTTTTCCAAAATAGACCACATATTAGCCCACAGAATATTAAGTAAATACAAAGAAATTGAAGTTATCCTATGCATATTATCATAATGCAATGAAATTGGAAATAAGTGGCAAAAGAAATCACAAAAACTATATAAACACATGGAAATTAAATAATACTCTCTTGAACAACCAATGGGTCACAGAAGAAATTAGACAGTTTCTACCATTAAACGATAATGTCAATATGACATACTGGAACTTATGGGATGCAATGAAAGCAGTCCTAAGAGGGAAATTTATAGTGGTGAATTCCCACATCAGAAAAACAGAGTGAGCTCAAATAACCTAATGTGTAATCTCAAGCTTCTAGAAAAAGAGCAAGTTAAACCCAAAACTCATATTAGGGAGAAAATTATAAAGACCACAGGAGAAATTAATGCAATTAAGACTAAGAAAACAATAAAAAGAATCAATGAATTAAAGAGCTGGATCTCTGAAATATTAAACAAAATAGACAAACCCTTAGCCAACCTTAACAAAAGCAGGAAAGAAAAGACCATCCATGCAATTAGGAATAAAAGGGGAAATCATAACAGATCTTGCAAAAATTCTG